GCCGGTCCCGGTCCGGTGCGGGGGCGACACTGAGGGTTGCGATCCGTTGCCGGACACGGAAAAAGACAAAAAAAAAAAAAAAAAAAAGAGAAAATCACTTAAAATTTATTTCACCCTGTAAGAATGCTAAAGCTAAATGAAAGAGTTTCCTTTGCTGTTGTCTAAGCTATAGCAACAACAACAACAACAAAAATTCTTCTTTTTCATATTTATAAATGAATGTGCATTTAAAAATATTTAATAGCACAAAAGTTAAATTTTCTTTCTCTATCAAACATTTTGAAGGATTTTTTTTAACATCATTCTACATATGTTATGGTGTTTTGTTTTGAATTTGACACCAACAATGAGGAATTTGTTGTGGTTTTGCAAGAGGAAACTGAACTATGAAATGCTTAAATGGATTTTCTATGTGTACACAAATATAAACACGTGAGTATACAGTATACAGTCTTACTACAAAAGTAATAATACATGTGAAAATACAGACAAAGAAGAAAATGGAAATAATTTCTAACCCCGTTATCAGAAAAAGATAATGTTAACTTTTTGGTATATATCAGTATAGTCTTATTTTATAAATACTTATTTTAAATTTTAGCAGAAAATGTAAGTAGTACTTTTTTATAATGTGTTTCGTAATTATCCTGCATTTTAAATGCAAAGCTATTGCTGTCTAGGGACTCAAAATCAAGTCATTTGGTGAGAAGTGCCTATTTCTTCAATCACTATGCAAAGAAAATAACAACCAGATATGAGCATTTGTTGGAGGAAGAACTCTGTCAAAACAGGGGCAATCTCCACTCAAAATTTCCTGCTGTGACCTATCTCTGACTTTTGGCTTTGTTTTAGCTAGTCTCCCATCACTTGAGTGTTTAGTGAATTAAGTTAAAATTTGATTGCACTTGGGCCGGCCCGTGGCTCACTCGGGAGAGTGCGGTGCTGATAACACCAAGGCCCCGGGTTCGGATCCCATGTAGGGATGGCCGGTTCGCTCACTGGCTGAGCGTGGTGCTGACAACACCAAGTCAAGGGTTAAGATCCCCTTACCGGTCATCTTTAAAAAAAAAAAAAATTTGATTGCACTTCCCAAAAGCATGGAGTTCTAGTAAGATCTACGTAACAGATAATTCTAACCAACGGATATAAATTTCTTATAAAAAGATAGAACTGCTAGTTCTTTGATTCCAGAAGATGTTCAAATGTCATTTTAACATCGTATAAACCAACAGCCCCAAATAAAAGATTAAACAAATTATTTCCAAGAATAGTTAGGTCCTAGGGACAATGGTATACCTAGCAGGGTTACATACTCTGTATCTCATATAATCTTTACAGCAACTCTGTGAAGTAGGTATTATCATTTCCATTTTATGAATGAGGACACTGAGGCTCAGCAGTGTTAAGGAACTTGCATAAGGATAGGTAATTGTTCAGTCTTTTTATTCTAAATCTAATGCATTTTCTATGACTCCACAGGTATTTCAAACACTATCAGGGCAATTAGAACAAATGCTAAATTATTGTCATTTGACAGGTTAACTATTTTGGGGGGAAAAATAATTAGACCTCTTCTTCATATGACACTTTAAAATACATCTCATATTTGAGGGTAGGGAAAAATTTAACTACATAAAAAGTTTTAAGGTATATATCCAAAAACATTACAAACAAAATTAAGAGATAAACTATAAGGAAAGAATGTTAATATTTTTAAAAGAGTCCTGAAAATTAAATTAGAAAATCAAAAATACCCCAATAAGAAAATGAGCAAAGGATATAAGCTGGCAATTGACAAAAGAAGAAATAGAAAATGTTAATAAATATGGACAAGTGCATAAGACTAACAAGTCTTAGTAGTAATAAAATGAAAATTAAAAATAATAATTGTAGCTAATCAACTGGGACAGTTTTGTTTTTTTAAATGATGCAGTCTAATACACAAATATTAGAAATGGCTACTGATACAAACTCTTTGGAAAAGAGTTTGTTAATATGGCTCAAAGGTAACTCTCCAACCCCCCATCAAAGAACTTATTCTAAGCAAAGATATAGAATAGTTTGTGAAGATGTATGTAGAGAAATCACTGTATTATTTAATTATAGATAGATTTTCAAAATAAATTTTCAGCAATAGAGAGATGATCAAATAAACTATAATACATCTCACAACCATTAAAATTTGTTTTCTTCTGTACATGTTCATATAAAACTCATATTTTCTTCAATGAACATGCATTATTATTTTAATCAGGAAATAACATACGATTCTAGAAATGTCATTATCCAGATCCATTATCTGTCCTCAGATCTGTGCTAGACTCTGTGTGAAGTGATTTATGGAAGAAATGACATTAACGTTTATTAAGCACTTACTCTGAAAAGCTCATTGTGCTGTGTGCTTTGCATATTTTATCTCATTCAAGCCTCACAACAATCCTGCTAAGTAGATACTATCTGTGGTCAGCACTTCAGAGTTTCAGTGAAACCTGATGCATGATATTAAAAATAAAACAATAAGATTGCCTTCTGAGAGTTAAAGTTAAACATAATGAATCAGAAAGAAAATATGAAAAATTACCTGGAAGCATCAGACAGGCTCCCGAGCCCAAGAGACCCAGTGTCTTGACACAGCTAAAAGAACAGATAAGCCTGGGTTCGGGAAGGGTAGAGAAAGAGGGGTCACAGAAGCAAGTATGGGCCACATGCATCCAAGAACCTTAGCCAAGGCAGTTCCAGAATTTCCAGTGCTTTTGATTGTCATAGCGTCCCAAACTTTTGTCAGCAGAGGAAGCCAACCACAGATGGGGGAGGGGCCAACTGTGGGCAAGAGCGTCCGTTCTGGAGATAACTGTCTTTGGACATCTTAGGCTGTGCCACTCAGTGCTGGGGTCCTCCAGCACACCTTGTTCTGAAGCCTGGGGACACATCAGATTCTCAGCTGCTTCCCATGGAAGTTGACTGACAGGAAGAAAATGACTGTCCCTGTAGACACCAGCAATCTGGTCCCAATGAGAGCTTCATTACTCAGTGTATAAGAATCAGCAGTCATTCTGATTTGTATACACAGTTGATTCTCTTTATTCATGGTAGTCATGTTCTACAAACTCGCCCCAAGCACTGAATTATTGCCTACTGAACCATTGCTCCTAAGGAAAATACAGAGTTAGGTTCCTGCAAGCCTCTGGTCACACATTTTCAGCAACCAATCAATACGCAATCTTGTTTTGTGTGTGTTTTTGTTTAAAAACACCTTATTTCATAGATATTGTCAATTCATTACTATTGAACTCTCAGACAATAGCACTATAACTCATGCTTGAACTAAGCTTATCTCACACACATATTTTCTCCATAAGGCACAGCATACTTCTTGCATTTTGGAACACTATATCCTACTTTAGCATCATGCTTGGGGGCTATTTTAAACAATGGAATTATCAATAAAAAGCACACGCACACGCACACACACACACACACAAACATGGCACTAAAAAGACAGTGAAAAGGACACAAGGACACGTGTTTACAGTATGTGAGCTGAAACAAGAAGGCAGCGCTTGGTCTTGCTTGACCTCAGTGGCGAACGTACACATGGGGAGATTCACATCTTTTTGCCTCTGCCCATGTCCATGAATGACTGAAAAAATGATGCAAGTATTGATTTGGGGGTTACAAATAAATTTTAATGAGTAGGTAAATTCAGAAATACTAAATCTGCAAATAATGAGGACCAACTGTAGACCTCAGGCAGACGAACTTGCTAAACAGGAACCTGACCTTGAAAGAGGCACCTGCTCTTCATGTGCTGACAAGACAGGCTGCTGGACCCGCAGGGCCCAGGCCCAGGCACCACGTGTGTCCTTTCAAAAGTCAACCAGCTCTCCCAGGGCAGTACTCCACACCCTCCCTGGTGGCTACTCTTTTATGTCTCTTTGCGCTTTCACACCAATGATTCTTAAACTTTAGCATGCATCTGGAAAGCTTGGTACAACACAGATTGCTGAGCCCACCCCCAGCATTTCTAACTCAGTAGGTTCTGGGGCAGTGCTCCAGATTTTGCATTTCTAACAATTTCCCACATGATGTTTATGCTGCTGGTCCTTGGACCTTACTTTGAAAGCCTCTACCCATATTATTATGCCAATTTTACAAATGAAAACCCAAAGCTCAAAAAGGTTGAGTAACTTGCCCAAAGTTTCACACACAGCTAGTAACTGGCTTTCAAAATAAGACGTGTCTAAATTCATGATCAGCTCTTTCTGTTCTACTGTAATATCATTGGTGCAGATTTCATCCTAACATGGCATTTTAGGTGATCATTTTATTCCCAGGCTGACCCACAACAGTCTATTCAATCACAGTAGAGTTAGACACTAGAATCAATAGCCTTGCTGTGATTTTTGATCCCTCAGCAGGCAGGGCTGGGAGTACAGGAGGGAGCAGAGGAGGAGCAAGACAGGTTCCTCTCTTGTCTTGCTACAGGGTGACTCATACCCGATGACAGCATGAGACACCAAAATACAAAAAAATCATTGTCACAATGTAAAGTTAATGTGGATTTTGGTTGGGAGGCAATTGGAAGTAGTGATCACAGACACACACACACACACACACACACACACACTCACTGTAGTGGGAGTTTGATCACCTGATATCTGTTATCTGAGTTTGAATCAGTGCGAGACACACAGTAAGCTCTGTGCTAGCTAATATAATCAACTTGGAAACATGGTGGGTGGGAGAAGATGACAACAACCTTAATTGAGATTCATAGCAAAGTTACAGAGTCAGGCCTTCTGGAAAAATTAATCTTCATTTAATGAAATGTTGCTAGACTATCAAATCCATTCATTGTGTGTTGCATCATACTTCACCAGGATTATTTTTACATTTTACTTTTGCAGTAGTATTCTGTACTCCTGCCTACCAACATTTGGATTCAAGCACATTTTGCCATTGACAAATGATGCCGAAAGATTCAATGAAATTGTGAAGAATCAGAAAATTTCTGCCAATATTGACACACCTGAAGGTGGATTTGATGCAATTATGCAAGCTGCTGTGTGTAAGGTATGCTGAGGGGAGCAGTGTTTCACTCTGCTAACATAAATTTCATCTCTGACTAACAAATCTACTTTGAAAAGCCTAGCTAATTTTATCTTTCCTTTAATCATCATATTTCTACATTTGATACTTTTCTTAAAACACAAAATTCTTAATTCAATCATGTTGAAATAGGAACTGTTTTTTATGCCTAATATTTGAATAATCTAAGAAAATTCTTATTTATTTATTTATTTTTATTTTGGGAGGCTGACCAGTATGTGGATCTGAACCCTTTCATATAGTTTTTTTTTTTAATGGAAACATAATTGATTGTACGTATCTGTGGGGTATAGCATTGAATATCAATACCTGTGTGCAATATGTGATCAGGATAATTACTGTATTTATTATTACACATTGTAATCATTTTTTGTAGCCCTTTACCAATTTCTCACTAACCACCCTCCCTCTCCCCCTTTCCTTCCTCTGGTGGCTTCGGTTTCATTCTCTCCTTTTGAAAGTTCAACGAATTATTATGACTGTTGCTTCTTTCTTTCTTTCTTTCTTTCCTTCCTCCCTCCCTCCCTCACTTCCATCCTTCCTTCTTTCCTCCCTCCCATTCATGAGTGAGGACATGCTGAATTTCTCTTTCTGTGCCTGGCTTATTTCACTTAACATAATTTTCTCTAAGCTCATCCACATTGCTGCAAATGGCAGAATTTCATTCTTTTTAATGGCAGAATAGTTTTCCATTGTGTATATATATACCACACTTTCCTATTCAGTTGCCTATTGATGGGCATTTAGGTTGGTTCCAACTCTTAACCATTGTAAATAGAGCTATGATAAACATGGGAGTGCAGGTATCCCTTCAACATGATCTACATTCCTTTGGGTATACACCCAACAATGGGATTGCTGGATTGTATGGCCGTTCTATCTGTAGTTGTTTTGAGGAATCTCCACACTGTTTTCTATAATGGGTGCACTAACAGTGTATCCCATCCTCTTTCTCTGCATCCTTGCCAGTGTTTATTCTGCCTTTTTGATAATAGCGAATCTGACTGGGGTGAAATGATATCTCAGTGTGGTTTTGATTTGCATTTCCCTGATGCTTAGCGATATTGAGCATTTTTTCATGTACCTGTTGGCCATTTGTATGTCTGCCTTTGAGAAATGAATATTTAGCTCCTTTACCCATTTTTTAAATCAAGTTACTTGTTTTTTTTTTACTATTTAAATTTTTTGAGTTTCTTGTATATTATGGATATTAATCCCTGTTGGATGCATAGTTTGCAAGTATTTTCTCCCATTCCATAGGTTGTCTTTTCACTCTGTTACTTGTTTGTTTCACAGTACAGAAGCTTTTTAGTTTGATATAATCACATTTGTTTATTTTTTCTTTTGTTGCCTGTTCTTTTGGGGTCTTATTCATAAAATCTTTGCCCAGTCCTACATCCTGAAGTGTTTCCCTTATGTTTTCTTTTAGGAGTGTTATAGTTTCAGGTCTTATGTTTAAGTCTTTAATCCATTTGGAGTTGATTTTTTTGTATGATGAGAGTTACAAGTCTAGTTTCATTCTTCTACACATGGATGTCCAGTTTTCCCAGCACCACTTATTGAAAAGGCAGTCTTTTTGCCAATGTATGTTCTTGGTGCCTTTGTCAAAGATTAGTTGGCTGTAAGTATGTGGGTTGATTTCTGTGTTCTCTATTCTGTTCTGTTGGTCCAAGTGTCTGTTTTTTTGCCAGTACCATGCTGTTTTGGTTACTATAGCTTTGTAGTATAATTTGAAGTCAGATAGTGTTATGCCTCTGGCTTTATTTTTTTCCTTGCTCAGGATTGCTTTGGCTATTCAGGGTCTTTTGTTCTTCCATATGAATGTTAGGATTGTTTTTTTATTTCTGTGAAGAATATTGTTGGTATTTTGATGGGGATCGCATTGAATCTGTAGATCATTTTGGGTAGTATCAATAGTGTTGGGAAAATTTGGTCGAAACAATAGTCATATATGATTAATTTTCTTTTTTTTTTAAAAAAGATGACCAGTAAGGGGATCTTAACCCTTGACTTGGTGTTGTCAGCACCACGCTCCCCGTGGCCTTGGTGTTGTCAGCACCGCACTCTCCCGAGTGAGCCACAGGCCGGCCCATATATGATTAATTTTCAAAGATCAAATACATATGGTATACAGGTGATGGTAGTCAATGTTGTACCCCCAAAATATGCATAATTAATTATGCTTCAATAAAAAAATTTTCAAAGATCAAGATCAAATTAATTAGTTTTTGAATTAACTATGGTTAAAAAAAAACCAAAGGCAGAACATTAATGAAAAAAAATTAAAATATTTTTATTTTGAATAGCCTGAATCACTATATATCTATACATGTCAGTACATATCTACAACATTGTAGGAACTCTGCTTCTCCTTGACTATCTGACAAGTATCCATGAGAATGATTCCCCTGTTTTAGACAATAGCCCTTCATGGAAAATGTCAGGAAACAGACAGGGCTGAAGCTCCTAGAAGATGGAAGGGGCAAGGAATTAGAGGAGGAAGGAATGGGATAAAGTGGGATGGAGGAGAGAGGATGAGTTTTGGCCCAGCTAGTTCCTGTACTAATATTAATTAAAGGGGAGAGCTCTGCTAGATACAAACAACAGACTGTCTTAATTAGCAGGACCTTGGGGCCATACTTTGATAAGCAATTCTTATCCTTTTATTAGACTTCTAATTTTTGGATGATATCATTAGAAAGAGAAATATATGCCTACTGTTGGGTGACATTCTAATGAAACAGGTTTACTTTGAGTCCATTTTGTATTGCATTTTGACTAGTTTTGCTTCAGTTTGTATTTGGGATTATCTGTGACCTCCCCCACCTCCTCACTTCATTTTTCTGGTGAATTGAAAGCTGGATGGTAAAAATAATTAACTATATAAAAGTCAAGATCAACTGAATACTGATTGTAGCAGAACTTTTTTTTGTGAAGCATAAATCATCTGAAAATGTTATCCAGGAAAAAACAGATGTCACAGAATTTCATTTTTTAATTTATGAATATTATCAACTCACAATAGATAGAAAAGGCTAAAATAGATAAACCAGCAATATAACAGAACTTTTTTTTGTGAAGCATAAATCATCTGAAAATGTTATCCAGGAAAAAACAGATGTCACAGAATTTCATTTTTTAGTTTATGAATATTATCAACTCACAATAGATAGAAAAGGCTAAAATAGATAAACCAGCAATATATTTTTCATACTCTGAATGTGTCCAGGCATAATTGATCCACACTGAATAAATGCCTGTCTCTCTCCAATACATCCAAATGTTTCTCTCTCACTGCAGGAAAAAATTGGCTGGCGGAACGATTCCCTGCACCTCCTGGTCTTTGTGAGTGATGCTGATTCTCATTTTGGAATGGACAGCAAACTGGCAGGCATCGTCATTCCTAATGATGGGCTTTGTCACTTGGACAGCAAGAATGAGTACTCCATGTCAACTGTCTTGGTGTGTAAGCTGTTGTCAGGGCTATAAGTAGGCCAACGAAGTAACAATTGCTGTAATGCAACGTGGAATAACTTGCACTTGCTGAAAACAGTGCACATTTTATGATTTGAGATTTAAAAAGTGCCTCCCCTCAATTCTCCCATCATTAGAGGAGCATAGGTGGGTGGTGGGGACATGGCAGAAGTTTCGATCTGCTATAGCACTTGTGATCCCAGAACCTCCCCAACTTCTTAAAGGTCCTGGGGCCAGCACAAAGCAGCATAGGCAGCTCATTCTGTTCTCAACCACAGCCCCAAAAGGGAGGCTCAGACCAGAACAGTAACCACACAAGGGTTGCTGTGAATGATAATTCCAGGGTCATGCCCCTAAATCATGCCATGCTTTCATGGACCACGGTGCTCCATGGGAAACAACTAGTCAGGTACTACTTGGTTGGTGCTTATTAACATTTTGCTTATTGTATGTCATTTTAAAAATTCTGGTGACATTTAAAGAAAAAAATACCTGACTTGTGTAAAACAAGTAAACTTTTCAAAGCTCTTTTGGCATACATGATCTCATCTGATCTTTAACAGAACCCTGGGTATACAACTGCTTTCCCTGAATGAACTATGAGGCTGCCATGCTGTGCACGTTATTCCCTCTATTCGGAATGTCCTTCCCTCCGAGGCTGCTGAGAAACTCTTAATTATCCTTCAACACTGAGTTCAATCATTAGTGCTCCTAGAGAGCCCTGTTTGACCTCTGTCAGACCCCGAAGTGATCGTCTCTCCTTTTGCTCTCACTCATAGATGTCTTCTCGCACATCTGTATGTGGAAACGTGTTTGCCTACATCTGTCTGTCCTTCTCTGTTGCACACTCCTCAGGGCCAGGACTCGTTTATTATTTCTGTTTCCTGACAGCACAGTGCCTGGAACATGGTGGGTGGCGACTATTACGTGAAATAGAATTAAATTATGAAGGAGCAACCTGAGAAGGTCATATTATCCCCATTTAACATTTGTGAAAATATGGTACAGAGAATTTAAGTGACTTCTTTAAGCCACAATGTTGTAGAAGTCTATATAGGGGAGAGAGAAAGAGAAAGAGACCCAGAACTCTAATATCACTTGGAAAAACTATTTCTGGAAACTCTAACAGTTTATTAATTACTCACTACCATTTCTTGACCTAAATTTTTAAATTTCAACATGACTGTTTTCCCCTGACTTTTGATCGGTAGTATTCCCCAAACATGTATATTCTTTAATCACATAATCTGCCTTTTCATATTACAGTACCAGGCAGATAGCCACATTTTGTTTTTTAGTCAATAATGGATGAGAAACTGTGAGAAATGGATCTTTTTCATTAACTTTTTCTTGAAACATTTTAAATACCCCATAATAGACATCTCGAAAGTACCACGATCATAGAAGCAAACACTATCTATTGCCTAATATGAACTTCTCATCTAATGAATGTTCAATTCATTCTTGCTGAGTAATTTGCTACAAATGCACAGAAGCCACGGACCATTTCCATGCCCACCTGCAACATAGCCCCCTGGGGCCTTTGAGCACTTCCTGCAGACTCAAAACCAGGCCAGATTCCTGGGGCCACAAAATAGTAGGATGTGGTTCCTGGCCCTGAACTTACAGTATATTTGTGGGAATTAAACCAACAGATTTGATTCAAATAGAAAACCACATTTGTCCACCTATGAAGGGCTATGTGGTTTGATCCTGGCTATACACACACAGCAGGCGAAAAGTACAGGAACATGTGGAGGTGAGGAGGGGCCAGCATTGGAGGGATTTAGGCTTTAGGGTGAAAGATATTTGGGCAGTTGAAAAGCAGAGGAAATTGAACATGCCAGACTCGGGAAGATTAATAATATCTGATATCTCTACTAATAAAAATCAAAATATGATGGACAGCACATATTATTACATAGCCAGATTTGTAGTTGGGTAATTTACCTGAGTATTTTAGGAAAAACTAGGCTTTTCTCTCAACTTGAAACTTGTACCTAAAGAAGACTTTAGATGAAAATATTCCAGTAGTGCTGAGAATATGTGAACACACAGTAGGGTACAGGAGGGCTTATCTCTCAGTGTTCCTCCATTTTGGCTGGCTTCAGTCATAACCAACATATTCTTAGCATAATTGTTTGCAGGCTGCTCCCTCATTTGAGTTTCCTCTTTGTACACTACGCACATGTGCATTCATTTGACAAGCAAGTGTGCTCCGTGTTTTCCAGACTTGAAAAGTAAAATCCATCTTCAAAATTTGGTAACTAATAACTTCTATTATTTTTAAAAGTATTTGGAATGAACATGTCAATGGAACAGAAGTACAATGTGCTTACTAAGTACAATGTGTTTTCAATTGTCCTGTAAAAATATTGCAGGATCCCATAGAGGTGATTTGTGATATTAAAATGGCAGTAAGACCAAACCCAAGTACTGAAACAGGAATGTCTCAAATCAGACAGTAGCGTGTCATTCCTCAGCACACTGTCCCCTCCTTAACCCTCATTCCACCTTAATATAATTCCAGAGTTTCAGAGCTCTAAGAGTCACCTCTGTCACATACATCATAGTCTCTCTGCCCTTCCCTCAACTCTAATATTCCTACCTGCTGGTAAGTGGCACTTAGAAGAAAAAAAATATTTCTCTACCCTTGAAAATATGACACACTATCAGTTTTAAAATAAATTTCAAGTGATCTACTTAGAAATGACAGAGCATAATACACTACATTGACAGGAACTGACTCAGGATTTAATTGGATTTATAATGTTTAGGAAATAATTATTAAACCAACTAAGTGAATAATGCTAATTGTGCAATTTGTTTATCACTTAGAGTGATAAATACAATAATGTCTGTAAGCATTGAAATGCCAAACTCAGTAAGATATCTTTGAAATAAATATTCGTATCCTTACATTCTTTTATTAAGATGAAACTTAAGATCTCTATGTTAATTTTAGGAATATCCTACGATTGGACAACTTATTGATAAACTGGTACAAAACAACGTGTTATTAATCTTTGCTGTAACCCAGGAACAAGTTCATTTATATGAGGTAAGCAAACATAATTCGGGAAATTCCAGGGAGATTATGTGCCGTGAAACTTTAACATTAACTGTGAGTTGAACACATGGGAAGGCCATTAGATAATCATTAACACATACAAAACACACTGGGCACTTGGGAAAGTGGATTCATTTACTGCTTGCAATTTAAATTATAAACAGAAAGATGCGGTGGGTGTGGGGAGCAGATATCATGGGACAAAGAAGAGTGACAAAAATAAAAAGATAAGTTGAGAAGAGCGCCAATAAACATAGGACCGCTTACCTAAGGGGAAATTAGTCTATCTCCCCTTGAACTGTTTTATCTGATGAGGAGAAAGTTAACAGAGAACAAAGGAAATCTTGAGAGTGGGAGAATTGACTTTAAATTCTTTGACATTTGCAAATTAGATACATAGAAAAGATACAAGTGGAGACACAACTCAAGCTATTGAGAAGTAGAAAGGTAAAAGAAAAAAACTTGTTAAATTGGGCCAAAAGAATAATTTCTCCCTAAAACAGTTGGATTTACAGTTCAAGTTTTTGGATGGAAGCACCAAATGCAAAAAGGGAACTGTTTTATAAGATGAAGTGATGCTCATAAACCACTTTATAAACTTTAAAATGTATATGCCAACACAAAATATTTCTATGGTTTCTTCCCAGCCTAAAAAAACATTATATCAAAATACCATGAATTGGGGTACTAGCAAATGATCTGCTAATCTGCAGTTTCACAGACAAGTAAGGAGACGTTAGCATGGGCCCTAGAAAATGAAGAGAAATTAAATTGTGCCTTTCATGCAGAAGCTTCACATACTCCTAAATTCAGACCTGATCTCCCATTCCTTGTAAAAGGACCTCTTAACTTGCTTGGTGACTTTACAGGGTTTGTGAAACTCTGAGATTATTTCACAGAAGGCTTTGATTAATTGCCACTGACCACTGAGGAAAGTGCAGCCCTGGAATTTGCATTGGGTTCTATAGAAAGGATTCAGGAGGAGATACTATCTTGCACTTTTAATGAGAGGAGGGTATTATACTCCCAGGTGAAATTGCCTTGTGCTGCAAACCAAGGAAGTCCTTTGCAATCAAGCTCCATACTCAAGGCCTTTGTTCTGCTCAGAGACCATGTGGTTTCACCTGATCTGGGCATTTTCTTATGGCTCTGTAGTAGGTGATACTTGTTTCTAGTGGTTTTAAGTAGTAGAGCTGCTGTTGAGATTAAAAAAAAAAAAAAAGCCGAAGCACAATAGTGAGTCTATTCTGTCTTTGATCATTAAGGCTATAGTAAGGAGACCCTGGGGGCCACAACTCCTCCACAGCAGGGCTCCGGTTTAGAAGGGGGGGGGGATTGCACAGAATTTTTCTTCAAAGGGGAGTCTGGGGAACACGACTGATGATCATGAACATAGACTCCCATAACTCACTTTGGTAATAGTCTTTAAAACTCACAACTCGTTTACACACCTCCCCAAAACTGCTATTAAAACGACAGAGGGAGATGAAAAATAAGTGCATGGTAAAACAGAATCTGCTGGATTTGAGCTGGTTGCATCCATGGTTCCCCTTAGTAAGGGGACCCTGGGGGCCACAACTCCTCCACAGCAGGGCTCCGGTTTAGAAGGGGGGGGGGATTGCACAGAATTTTTCTTCAAAGGGGAGTCTGGGGAACACGACTGATGATCATGAACATAGACTCCCATAACTCACTTTGGTAATAGTCTTTAAAACTCACAACTCGTTTACACACCTCCCCAAAACTGCTATTAAAACGACAGAGGGAGATGAAAAATAAGTGCATGGTAAAACAGAATCTGCTGGATTTGAGCTGGTTGCATCCATGGTTCCCCTGTTGCAGGGAAAATGATCATTTCCAAGGAAAATGCCAGATTAGAGCCTGCCTCTAATGTAACAGCAGGACATTTATTTTGCCTGCCTACTAATCTCATTATGAGGCGAATTTATGTTCTGTCATGATCTGTGGTCTTTACCATCCAGGCTCTGCTAAATTCAAAGGGACATTTAGGGAGTCATGCAGCAAACCAGGTCAGCAGCCCACTCTTTGGCTCTGGTCATTTCATTATTTTATTTTTATCTGGATGGGCCTGTCATTCTACCTGCTTCAGTGGGGGCAGGCAGCATCCTGGACTAATGATAATGACAGCAACATTGCACTTCCCTGAAGCCAGCGTGAAAATGCTGATCTCCTGTTTTATTGATAATGAAAACTGAAAATAGACCGATAATGGCTTGTGTTGCCTTTCAATTTACATCTCTTAGAAGGAGTCTTATGAGTGCAGGAGACCTATGCAATCTGATGTTTGGAAAGCCGTGACATAAGGAACGTAACCACTAAAGAATCACTGAAAAATAAAACCAGTGATAGGATAAATAATGCAATTACGTGGTTGGATCTAATGAAAATTCCAGAAGGAAAATTATTCTCTCGAGTTATTTGTTGAGCATAGTTACGTGCCTGCACAGCAGGCAGGGGGTGGGTTAGGTTCAGTGGCAGCCCTGACTTGCAGCAAGTAAGATTTATGTTGCCCGCTCACGGAATGCAGGAAAAATGACTGTGTTTTCAGTAGCTTTGGTAAAATGCTTTGGACTGCCCAGGTGTGTAGCGTTCCTGTCTCATTGTAACAGAGATCACAAACAACAGAAAGGGTGAAGTAAGCAGTTTTGCCGTCAATTCAATATGACTGCAGTGTGTGCTCCAGACTCCAGCAAACAGGTGATTTTGAACAAACATATTATTATGAACAGTTCCTGTTCATCCAATTACAGGGTTCAAAAGATAATGACAGATAATAGACTGAGCAGTAGGTAGTATATTACATTCTAGTGCTAAATACCATTTTGAATCAGGATTCCTATTACTCAAGTTAAAAAAAAAATTTGTGTTCTCTGTTGTTCTTAAATGTTTCCTCTTAATTTACATTAAGATAGTATCAGGCCACTAAACCCCCATTGTCTAATTTAACTAGTCTTTCCTTCCTAGTGAGGTATTGAGATAAAAAGCAATTAAATCAGTGTTTTTTACTACCTTGTCAAATTATATCATTAATCACCTCAGGTTATTTGCAAGACCTTAAAATATCCTATATTTTTTCAGAATGTCTACATCTGGCTGTGAAAGATGACTTTTGTGATGTTAATAACAATGATTACTATATGACTGGTATTTATGATGTAATGCTGTTGGAAAGTAAACAAGAAGTATATTGGTCATAGACACCTCCAGTTTATTTACTCACTAACACGTGTGACCACTAATTGCTGTCCCTAATTGTGGTTATTAGTACAGAGTGATGTCTCTAAAGCATGGGGACGGGGTGCAGGCAGATTTTTATGCCACCAAAGGGCCCTTTCCTCTGGAGACAAAAAGCTTTTATCAGCTCTTTGAGAAGACGGTGGGTCTTGCTCATCTTCCTGTTTAGGCCAATTCTCCATGCACAGCACATTTTCAGTAAATATTCATTGAATGCATAAAATGGTGAAATAAAAGCACCTCATCTTTTCTAAAACTGGGTCAAATGTTCTAAATAGGGACTTGGAGGTCTATGTGACAAATATTCATCAGGGTTGAGGACACCCATGCACACAGAGCAGGAGGGGCACTGACCATTGCTGGATTCTTGCCAGCCCTGTCTGTCCCTTCTTCTAGCCCTTCCACCTTGGACCCAGATGGCACTAGAGAGGAAAGAAACCCTCTGCCATCAGTCTTAGGACCAACCAGTTGGAGAAGCTCCACAGCCTTCTCACTAGGACATGAAAGAAAACCCCTGAGCAATTGTCCACCTGATGGCCATTAGATCAAAACCAGGCTTAAAGAGCAGCCACAGCAGGCTGTGAGCCCAGAGTCCTTTTAAGACTCGTGAAAATGATCTACCATCTACCATACACTAGTATTAATTTTTCAGGAATCAACCCAATTTTTATTTCACCCTTTCTCTCTTCTTGCTCTTTTGAGCTTTTTTTTTTTTTTAACTCACTATCTTAGTGATTCTATTGCATCATGAGACAACAAATTTAGTTTGAAGGGTGATTTTCAGGGACGTTACATAGAACTTTAGTATATAAAATGCCAAAACAAGTCATTTAACTGTAAAAAATTCCAACAGTTAATGCCAAAGAATATTGATTGTTTCAACTTAACTAATTTTATAATAATAATATTAACGGGTTTTGATATTTTTAATTATGGCTTTGGGGCTTTAAGCCTTTTATGAACCTTCTTTTGAGCTTTTCACTGAACCAACGGAGGAACAGAGGCAGAGAAAGTAGGGAGGGAGATCAAATAAAAATTGGACCCCTTTGCTATTTGTTAATGTGTTTCATTGTTTTATTTTGTGATGTTCCTGTTGGAAAAGATCAAAACAATTTTGCTCCAATGGAAATCAGTTTATCTCTCTGACCTGAGAGTTTACAAAATAAGACTGGACCTGATGACCTCCAGCTTTAAAAGTCAATGTCTCTAATCCTGGAGGGGCTAAATTACCATGAATTCCAATGATCTCCATACAGATAACGTAGTTAGCTGTAAAGTGGCTAATTTTAGGGCATGATCTAAGAAGTTGTTCTTCATCCTATCAGTCCCATCCTGCAATGGGGTATTCCAAACTCATGATTTTAGTGAAAATAAAATCATCTGGGAGTAAAAAGACAACTTCTGGATTATGAGGCATCTCCATGGAGTTCATAAATTGCTCTTTAATTCAAATGTAATGGAAAGGATTTTGATTTCTCCTTAATTGATGGTATCTGAGAACAGACTGAGGAAAGCCAGCTGCCTACACTTTCCTCATTAATTAAAACATCCCTCAGAGAGGGAGGATTTGGTGATAAAACTCATGTATTCAGATTATCAGGCAGTTTCCAGGCTAATTAATAAATCCCTACTATGAATAATCATCAGTAGTTACCTCTTAGATCACACAGTACTTCTCTGTGAAAAGTACTCAAAGCCTCATAATGAAGAAAATAAATGCACAGAAAGAAAAAAGT